GAAAGAAAATCCTCTTTTCCTATCTAGTTTTAATATTATTTTGGCATGTTAGAATCTAATTCTTGGAATTTTTCCAAAATTATTAGGACGAGTCAAATGAATATGCTGGATTGCCTTTTCAAGAGTTGTTATCAAAGGAAAGTACATAATTCCACCCCCGCCCTCACATTTGAGAGCTATGACTCTTCAGTTTTCACACACCCCATGACCCTTTACTACAGCCAACCCTTTTGTCTGTCAGAGTTACAGGGGCTTGGATCAGGAAGTCGAATCAAAAGAACCCATGAGGAAGTTTCTAACGGGAAAAAACACCCAGGGCATAAGAACCTGCGCAGATACGATTCCCTGGACTTGGAATCCGCTAAGGTAATTCCAAGCCATTATGACCGTGGCTCTCAGGTATGTACCGCACGCTGCCTCTTCTTTCGTTTACCTTGGGAGGACAAAACTAATATGAATGGTCGGTGATCCTGCAACTAGCATTCCAGAGCATTGGAGTAGTGTATGGAGATATAGGTACATCTCCTCTTTATGTTTACGCAGGCACCTTTGCCCAAGGTATAAATCACAGGGATGACATATTGGGAGTCATTTCTTTGATCTTCTACACCATCACTCCCATGCCTTAGATCAAATACGTCTTCATCGTTCTGCGAGCCAATGATAATGGTGAAGGTACGTAAGATTAAGATTACTACTAATTAATTTATTAAGATCCAAGAAGCAAGCTCTTGTCTCTCTATTTAATAGTAAAATATTGCATGATTGCATCCATCCATATACCAAAGCTGTTTCCTACGACAAGAACAGTAATTACTCAGTGAACATGCTATACTCTTTTTCTTTCCCTTTCTTTTTTAAAGAAAAACTATTAGCAAATCTAATGTAAACACCATGTAGCAGGGTCTTAAAAGAGAGATTGTTTATGAACTTGTCGAGGTCAGAAATTTGACTTTTACGATAGATACCAAAGCGGATCTTTTCTTTATTAGCTAGCCAAATAGAAATTATAATAATTGTAATTAATTAATCAATCAGCTAATAATATTTTTCTGTCTGAGCATGTGTAATCGATGAATTTTGAAATTTACTCGTTGGGTTGCTAAGCTCTTTTCTCAATGCCCAAAGCACAGTGTTTTCGATTTAAAAATCGTGGCAAGTGAATTGGATTTTTAAATTCCATAAAAGATCAATTAGAATAAAAGAATAGAAAACACTACCCTTAATCAATATCTACAAGCAGCTGTTAACCGAATCTTTTTAAAACATTCATTCAACTATACATGACCATGAAATTGGTTGTCATATCTATAACAATTCTTAATTAACAGTCATCTAATTGTAGCTTAAGAAAAAATTTCTCACCAATAAAATTAAAAAGAAGAAACTTATAATATATTTTTTTTAACAAAGAAAACTTTCTCAACGACTACTTTGTTTCATTTTTCCTTGAAAAGACTAGTATATGTAATGTAGTGTTCTGCCATTTATCTTTTTCCTCCAATTTACTGTTCCTCTCATGCTTTACTCTTACAAACAGTTCTTATAATAAAACCGTCACCAATAAATTAAATTACTTCTCACATCTTTGTTACCATTAATAAGAATTTCAATCGGAGTATTCTGCGGTAATATAAGCAACCACTTCCTGTCAAATAGGCCTAATTAAGAAACCACCTTCATTAGCATGTTGGACTTTAGTCACTCCTAGTAAGACACCCTAATGCGGGCCGCAATATTACCACTCCAACAATGGTGGAAGGAGGGTTACATCATTCTTGTAAAAGAACCAGGTTCACATCCAGGATTAGCTAATTTAGCAAGTAAAGTCTTATGACAAGTAGAGGATACAATCTCACTTTCAGCAGTTTGAATGGATGAGAACAATTATGTAATTGACGTCTTTCAAGGGGAACATTTGCCCTGTACTCGCTAATATGCCGATGTGCGAGGATGGGTTTGATCCCTAGTCAACAAGCAGAGGATCGTGGTGTATCCAATTTCCATTTGGAATTGCCCACCAAAGGCCTTAAAAGAGCATCAAAAAATCGAGTCCAAGTTAGAGAACAGCCAGTTTGCCAAACTTTTTCTCTTGACCATCACAATGCTTGGCACATCCGTGGTCATTGGTGATGGTGTCCTCACCCCCTGCATCTCAGGTTTGCTAATTTTAAATTGTTCTATTCATTTCTGTCATAATTTACTTGTTTTACCAATTAGAAATCAATGTTTAAGAAGCATTATGTTATACATTTTCTTAAACACTTTATTGCAGTTTTGCCAGCTGTGGGTGGCATTAAGGAAGCTACAGCTGCAATGACAGAAGGTAACTTATTTTAATGCCATGAGATTGAAAACAAACTGATCTCATTTCTTTTGTTTTTTTTCTTTTGCTTTTCTTGAAACGAAAAGCAAGCTGCTCACAATAACATCATTTGGTGTAAACAGATAGGATTGTTTGGATATCGGTAGCTATCTTGGTCTGCCTCGTCATGGTTCAAAGATTTGGAACTGACAAAGTGGGCTACAGCTTTGCTCCTATACTTTGTGTTTGGCTCGGATTCATTGGTGGAATTGGAGTTTACAACTTAATCAAATATGATCCAACAGTCATTAAAGCCATAGACCCAAAATACATTGTGGATTACTTTAGGAGGAACAAAAGGGATGCACGGGTCTCCCTAGGTGGGATCGTTCTTGCCATAACAGGTTCCAAAATTTTGCTTCCTTATTCAATTTAACTCTTTTTTATTGAAAGAACTGTTAAATATTAGTTACAACCTTGCACTTTGATGCAGGGACTGAAGCATTGTTTGCTGGTGTTGGCCATTTCACAGTTCGTTCCATACAAATAAGCATGTGCACCGTGACCTACCCAGCTCTGATACTGGCCTATACTGGACAAGCCTCCTTCCTTCGTAAACATGAAAATTTTGTTTCTGATGCCTTTTTCAAATCAATTCCAGGTGAAAAATAAAAGTCGAGCCCAGGGATACCCCATTTTACTCTCCTTTGTACGATGTATATCCTATTGAGGTGGCTGGTTTGGGATATTGCAGGCCCTCTGTATTGGCCAATGTTTGTGCTAGCTGTGGCGGCTGCAGTTATAGCAAGTCAAGAATGATTTCAGGGTCGTTCTCTATAATCCAGAAGTCACTCTCATTGAGGTGTTGTCCTCGTGTCAAAGTTGTTTATACATCAGCCAAATATGAAGGACAAGTTTACATTCGTGAGGTGAATTACCCACTGATGTTGGCTTGTACAGGGGTTACTGTTGGATCCAGGACCACTGAAAAGATTGGCAATGCATATGGTAACTCTCACAACTCTGCTTATACTTTATTACCTATATTTAATTAACATTGATGCAATTATGTATCTTATTTCATATCAGTCTTCTAATTACCTGAACTTAAGCATTAAAATTAACGAGAAATAACTGCGTACAGGGATTGCGGTAGTGTTTGTAATGACTTTAACATCATCATTGTTGGTTTTTTTTTTTTTTTGGAAAAGTGATTTTTATTGATCTCCTCACCAAATTGGCAGTTTGAGTCTTAGGCTTGACTGCAAAAGACTCTTCATGGCGTAAGAGAAATGGTGAGGTTAATGCTTATGTACATTTTCCAGCAAAGTCTGCTACTCAAGGGTAGTGGTAGCATTACAAGAACCCAAAGAAACTGTCTAAACTATACAAAACAGAGCATTTTTCTCGGGAAACACTGGATAGTCAGCCTGTACAAAATCAGTGTTGCCATAAAACAGAACCCAAAGGTGTCGAGATGAAACAACTCAAGAAGCCATCAAGAAGGAAGGCAGCACCCCAAAACGCACATTGTAAAACCAGACCGCAAGGAGAGACACAAGTAGGGTGAAAAGCGAACCTCAATCTGGACCAATTTCGCGAACCTGGTACCGGTATCAGAAGAGATCATAGCCAACAAAAAGAGCAGCATCGTCGTTTTCACAAATCAGCTGGAGAAGATCAACCTATACCCTCAAGCGATCAGCAGCATACCATCGAACTCATGACAGCCACCAAGGAAAGACAAACCAAGCACTCGGACACTTCTCAGCCACCTGCAGCAAGAAGCCGATCCCTTTGGAAACTCAACATACTTTTGGTTATCGCCTATATTCTTGTCATTGGCTCTGTGGAGTTAGTTTATTTGAGCTCTGCTCTCTACAAATTTGATCAAGGAGGATACTTACAGTTAGCTTTTACCGCAGGCCTAATGACAGTGATGTATGTTTCGAACAATGTATACCGAAAAAAGTACAATTTTGAGCTCGATCACAAAATTTCTCTTGAAAGGTCAAGGGAAATTACTGCGGGCACAAACTTGTGTAGAATTCCTGGAGTTGCATTGTTTTACTCAGAGCTTGTCCATGGTATTCTACCCATATTTGAGCATTATGTGGCAAATGTACCAGCATTGCTTTCAGTCCTTGTTTTGGTCTCTATCAAATCACTACCGATTAGCCAGGTTGCAGCTGAAGAACGATTTCTTTTTAGAAGAGTGGAACCCAAGGAGTTAAATGTCTTTCGTTGTGTTGTTAGATATGGATATACAGATATTCGAAATGAACAAGAATCCTTTGAGTGGACTTTAGTTGAAAGGCTGAAAGAGTTTATCAAAGAAAATGTATGGTCGTCTCACGTACTAGTCAGTAATAGAAAGAGTACTGCTACAAGGGGTGAGGAATGGGATAATGGACTAGATACCAGGGAGGATGAAGAAGACAACGTGAGGCAAGTTGAAGAGGATTGGCAAGAGATGGTGGAGAAAGAAATCAATACAGTAGATAAAGCATGGCAAGCTGGTGTTGTTCACTTGATTGGTGAGAGTGAGGTGATCGCAAGCAAAGGAGCTGGAACAGGGAAGACGATTTTAATAGATTATGCTTATAATATCCGGAAGAAAAATTTGAGACAAAGTGAAAAAGTGTTTGATATTCCTCACAGGCGCATGCTTAAGGTTGGTATGACTTACGAGTTGTAGAATATATTATGAAGAATTGGATGGGCTTGAAAGCATTGTTGCTGCATTTTTAGAGCTATAGAAATACAGCACTACAAAGCTTTCCTAAACTCTAACTCAGAAATTTAGGTTGCAGGGAATTATTCTACCTTGTAAGGAATAAAACAGGCTGCATTGCTTTTGGCATGCGTACTTAAATTTGTAAGCGCTAGTATTATGAATGCAAAAGTTTCATGATTTTATTACACTATTTTTCTTAATAATCATATGGATTCCATGGGAAATTAAGAAAGAAGAAAAGATAGCTCAATTTGTACTCAACAGTCTGTAATATTGCCTTTTTTATTTTTATGTAGAAACTCAACATATATCTAATTACCTATGATTTTCTATTTTATATGCATACATATATATATATATATATATAAACTTTTAACTTTTTGTGTTACCCTAGCTAGGACTCAATCTGGTAGCCAAAACACTAAATTTTTTTGAAAAGTAAATTGCATTTTACTAAATGGAATTGCGTTATACTATTATTTATCCAAAAATTAAAGAAATTGCTTTATATTTCTTTTTAATAGAAAAAGAAAAAATTGCATTACATTTCTTCCCATATATTTTCTCAGTATAAAGTTGTAGATGCTCTCTCTCTCTGTGTATATATATATATATATATGAACCCAATGAACTCATTGCATTTATATATATGAAATTATTAATATATGAACACATTGCCATATATAATTACATTGAACTTTTAAAGGAACTATCGTCCTTGACTAGGATAGAGATTTTCAACCAGTGATTCATTTGAGGGTAATTCTACCATGACATTTCTCATAAAAAGAAAATTAGACTTATTAGGAATTGCATAAAGCACATAAGGCTTTTGCCATGTACCACAGTGAGGTATTCAACTAAAGCATCGCAAAACACTTGAGCTACTCCAATCTCTCACATGAAAAAGCCAGGTTAGAAATGTATAAAAATTTTGTGTGATGCTGCTCAATTAATTAATTCAATTTTGGTGGATGATCAAATTAAATTAATCGATATGGATAATGACTATGATAGAAAAATTAAACGTGGCCGGTAAAAATTCCTTGCTTATCCAGAAAATTAAACGAGTGTCTGTCTCACCAACTCCAGCATATTACTTCTGGCACGTTGGTACACGTCTTGTTATGCCTATATGCTAGATGTGACAAGCAGGACTCATGAATTAGGATTTACCGATAAATGGATTAAGCAGGAGTATTATTCTATAATTATTTAATTATAATAAAAAATTATTTAGAGATCTATCATTTCTAAATGTGAATTTCATATATTATTTTAATGAATCTTATATTGGTGATTGTATTAATTAACTAATTGTGGGAGATATGTTTTCCGATCAAGCAAGGAAGGTAGTTTTCTCCCAATTAGGCAAGCATTATGTTTGGAAGCAAGGAAGGGGAGGGAAGGCAAAAAGGTGATGAAAGAAAAATGACAGAGAGAAAGCAAAGTTGTTTTCCCTTCATTGTGTTTGATATGAAAGATGGAAAACAGAGGGAAAGAGAAAAAATGAAGGAGAGGTCCTTATGTTTGATATATATAATAAAAGACAGAAAATAGAGAGAGAGAGAGAGAGAAAGAGATTAAAGATAGAATTGTAAATAAAATCATTAAGTCAAATGTATAAATCTACCCACTTTCCTGGCCTCTCTTATATCTCTCCCATACTAGGTCTTTCACTCCTATGTATTTCCTCTTTTATAAGTTACTTTTTTGGCTGTTCATTTGGGCTCATCTCCAACCAGGTGAGTGGTGACCCTTTCCATGGATACAAAGTGAAGGAGGAGAACTTTTATACTTCAATATAGATGTTAGATCCCAGCTTTATAAATCTAATTAATGAAGGAAAAGGAAACTGACAAGTACCCATTTTATAAAGGAGAAAATTCCGTTACAAACTAAAGCAAAATGAAGTGTGTATAGCTCACTGGGTTGTGTCTAGGTTTTCACAATTTGTTGCCTGTCTGAAATCCATGTATCATCCTCTCTATTCTCTCTTAAATTATCAAGAGCAAGAATTAAACAATAGCTTTTTCTTTCGTTTTTCCCCTCAGACAGTATCTTTCAAACGGTTAAACAAGAAGTTCAATCCTAGAAAAAGACAAATGTTTTACTCTCGTATTTTAATTTCTCTCATTCATTGTCTGCATCTGCAAACAACCTATAAACAGAAGTTCCAAAAAACCTTGACTTTGATCATCCTCAGTTGCAGGAAACCTGTTCAATGTCCATTTGAATAGTGTACCTTAATAAAAAAGGAAAATGGCAGCATGATCGAGACCTGGTGGTGGTTTTCACGACAAAACAGAAAAATATCCAAACACAGATACTAAACTGTGGTCCCAGGATCTAGGAGTTTCAGAGAGAAACCCTAGCCATGGATAATTATGACCATCTTGAAAGGGTAAATGAAGAAATGAGAAAAGCTGTAGATGCGGCCGGATTCACTATTTCATTTTCAAAGGGTAACTTGGTCTTGGAGTAATATAATGCTCAGAGAAGAAGACTAGGGCATGTGCATGTCTTAGCTAGTTCTAATGTTGGACTAAGGAAGGAGAGGCCAAAAGAAGAGAGGGCTCTAGTCAAAACTATTCATTCATTTCAACTGCAAGCACAGATTGGGAAAACAAGCTAGAAAATTAAGTATAAAGTTTAGTTGTACTAGACTGCTACGTCAGTTAGGAAATGAGATAAATTAATTGATAATTATCCACATAACAAAGAAAAAAGGATTTGGTGATTAGATCTGAATCATGGTAGAAAGAACAAACCTCAGTATAAAGTCCAAGGAATACAAAAATCCCTTATAATCTTGACTGTATTCCTGACAATTCACATTCTATATAAATGCATCAAATAAAACATACTAACTATTCCACGTTTTGATTTTCCCTGAAAATAGTCTTCACTATCCAGTGTTGGTGAGTTTCACTCAAAACAGTTAAGGAATTCAGCTTAAAATCGAAATTGAGTAAATCAAATTAGCAAGGTCTAGTGAGCATAAACCAAACCCTAAATTTCTATACATAAATTCCCAATTATGAACTCAGATAGGCTACTGGTTGTCTAACAAATTAAATACCTGCAATAAAAACTCATAATTGAAGGAGGAAACATACAAGAACTAGCTTCAATTCTCATAATTCTTAAGCAGATATTAATCAATCAGAAGACAAAGTGAAGATTTAAAGCCTCACAAGCAGAAAGGTAAAACATCTACCACATTTAACACCCCCCAACTCCAAGCTCGCTGCGTTATGATCATACCTATTTCATCAAAAACATAGAGAACTAATTTAATTTAACTTCAAGTCTAGAAACAATTACCACGCTTTATATCTTTCAAAACGGCCTGGAGAGAGAGCTGCTCCTGTCAATAGCATTGAACTTCAATGGGGTTGAGGGAACTGCAGATCTCCTAGGCAGTTCACTTCTGTAATTTGATGTTTCTTCCTTTTCTTCATGGTTGCCAGCCCTATTCTGGTTAACTCTTTCTCCTTCCTGATCCCTATACCTATGCAAATACCTTTTTAATTGCTCAGCGAAGTTATCAAACCCTAGAGTTGCAAGTGCCCAACAAATGTCATCCCCATTAACAGTTTTACGCTTTTCCTTGTGACACTTGTCAGATGCTTCTCCAGTGACAAAGCTAATAAACTCGGATACACATTCTTGCATGGTCTCTTTAGCTTCTTTGGAGATCTTTGCGTTAGGAGGTAGAATCTGCTTCATGATTCGCCCAACGTTAGCTATCGGAAGCAACCGATCTTGTTCCTTAACGATGCCATCCTCTCCTAAGACACCACCAGCGCCTGCAAAGTTGTAGCTATGATCTTCTCTATCTGAATCAATTCCTATTTTATCAGTCATCTCTACAAAGAGAAAACTAATTATATCCCATTAAACTCAGACACGTTGCTTGTAATTACTAATTCGCTATTATATAGATGTATAGTTAAGTGTGCGTTTGTGCATACATGTATATATAAATTATAAAAAAAATAAAAGTTGTTTCAGATGACGTGATAGGTAATAAGACAAATTAGTTAACTTTTATGAAACATGATGACAGGTAAATTTTCATTATTAGTATGAGTTAGGGTTTTCTTTAAGGAAAAATATTGAAGAACTACTCCTTGGGGGGCTTGTGCAAGCAATTTAAACCTTAAAGGCTTATAAAAAATAGAATCAAACTTATCCATTATAGACAATGGTCCCCTTCTTTGCTCCTTAACACTTAGTGCTCTCAATAAGTTCAAATTGACAACCCTTAAAAGATGCTGCAAATTTGAAATTTGTGGACTAAATATATGCACGTGTGCTTCTTGCAGTAGATGCAACCAAACTTTAAGACCTAAAAAGAAACCAAGTAATTATAAATTAGAACACTAAAGTTGGATTACCTACCATTTAGGTTTTTACATAAGATTATGTCACTCTACACGACGAGAAATTAATTGTTCCTTGTGAGGTCATGGTCGGGTACTCTTCAAGCTCTGGACTTCGTATATAATGCCACCTAGCCTACGAGCAGCAGTCAAAGGATACAAAATATATGGCATACACGTGGCAATTAGTGAAAGATTGATCCATTGATAATCAGGAGAACTTATTATGCAAGTTGATTTACAGGTCATAATCTTGATGATCATTATGCTTTGTTAAACCATCCCCCACTCCCCAACACGATAAACATGACTTGGATAAATTATTAATTAAAGCAGTCTATAACACTAAGCGTAAGCTTTAAGTTCTAAATTATTGATTGATGAAAGCTATTTGATTATGTACACTAAATATAATTATTAGATGCGTATTCATTTCGAATCAATCATGTCATTTTATAAAATCAAATATTCGTAAAAAAAAATAAATCATAGATAATAAATAGAAGTAGAGGAATATTCGATGTCTTATACGCTAATTAGAGAATTCAATTATTTTCTTAAGATGACTTTGTG